TGCGCCCTGCCGGGTGCTCACCGACAGGGTTGGGGGGGCCGAGGCTGCCAGGGAGAAACAGCCACGTGCCGGCAATCAGCTGGAACTGCTGGAGCCGGCCGGGGAAAGCCGCGGTGAGGCGGAGAACGCCGCGGATGCCAGGGGGAAAGCCGAACGGGCCACGCAACACCAGCAGACCAGCAGATGCCGCGGGAGAGCTGACACCAACCTGGAACTCTCTGGTCCAACGAGCCTTCAGGGAAGGAGGCTGAGTGATGCAGCACACAAGCGGCCGGACGGAGAACCGCCAAGGATTGACTTCCGGGAGGGGCGGGTCCCAACTGCCGGGACACTTATAACCACAGGGCGGATGGTGGCTTGCGGCTGGGGGCAGGGTAACAGGGCGCAGGGCCAATGAGGAGCCCTGCGAGGGGGCAAGTCCCATGAGAGAGAGAGAGAGAGAGACAGAAGTGCAAGTGCCTCTGTCTCTCTCTCTCATGGGACTTGCCGGAGGGCCGCATTTATATAGAGCAGGGAGGGCTGTTCGAGGGCCGGATTAAACCAGGCCGCGGGCCGCAAATGGCCCGCGGGCCGGACTTTGGACATGCCTGCTTTAAGCTGTCTGCAAGCACCTCTTTTTCTAGGATCGCTTGGTTAGCATATAAACTCAGAAAAAGATGCAAATTCTTTAAGGAGGCATCTCTGGCACACAATGTGAGTGCCCATACCTGTTCTGAACACCTTTTTACCCTTTGGATCCAAAGCACTACACATACTTCTTTAAGGATTACCAGCCTAATATTCAAGTTGTCCTCACTTAACTACTTGCTGTCTAGTTTCATCACTGCTCAGGTAAGCCATGGTTTTTTCTCAGATGAGCTCTCCGGAGAACGTTCATCAGGGAAGAGCCTCCGAAGCCCTTCCCCTGCCACTCCGCTGGCCCATCCTGTAGCCCAGCCTTTCCTAAGCAGGTATCCAAGTGAGCCAGGCTCAAAGACAGTCGACCCTCGGTCAGCATTGGCCACCCATGATTGGTGTGGCTCTTCCAGATTATCTGGTCACAACCTGCCCAGCAACCCTTGGGGACAAGACATGCCGCAGCCAAAGGAAAATCGCGGGAAAACAGGCACAGCCTCTTCCTCCTCCTCCTCCGGCTTATGGTAGTTGTTAAGGGGACTACGTGCTGCTTTAATGAGTGAAGCAAAATCTCTCATTTCTATGTACAGGTAGTCTTCACTTGATGACTACTCATTCAGTGATCGTTCAAAGTTACAATGGCACTGAACAAGTAGTAGTTACTACTGGTCCTCAAAGTTCCCAAAGTATCACACTACTCCTGTGGTCATATGATTGTGATTTGGGCACTTAGCAACTGATTCACACTTATGATAGTTACAGCATGCTGCAACCACATAATCTCCATTTACAATCCCTGCCAGGTTCCCAAAAAACAAAGTCAATGGAGAAGCCAGCAGGGAAGGTCACGAGTCACTCCAGTAAGTCTTCCCACCCAGCATCAGTAGCCACCACCGCTTCCATAGCACTTGCACCATACCTTACTGGCCATTCTTATACCCTCCCCACCTGATAACAACCATCCTTAGCTTGAAATAGATTGCATATACGATACAACCACCTGCACACCCTCTCTGATCCCAACAGCAGCCACTTTGATTATTATTATTTATTTATTAGATTTTTATCCTATCTTTACTACTTTATAAATGACTCAAGGTGGCAAATATACATAATACTCGTCCTTCCTATTTTCCCCATAACAACAACTCTGTGAAGTGGATTGGACTGTGAGAGAATGACTGGCCAGTTTTCATGTCTAAGGC